TCCCCCCCATACCTCTCCACCTTTTGATCAAAATATTAATCAAAATAACAAAAAATTATATGAATACGATTATGCTTCAATGCTACACGAGGACGGAAATCAACTTATTAATGATTGGGGAGAGGGAGGAAAAAACAAGATTTAGACAAAACGGAGAAAGAAAAAAATAAATAAATAGATCAAATTGTAAGTTGTCAAACCTTTTGTATCGTCTCCTGTGCACTTTGTTTAGGAAATGCATTCAAAGCCTTATCACTCAATTTTCCGGTCGTCTCAGGGCTTCCACCGCATAATGCCTATGAAATCAAGCATTTTAAATGAGAAAGTTAATTGCCCAGAAACAATACATTTTGCTATAGGTTTCCAAGATTTATTGAATGAATATAACGACAGGAAGTAGGAAATGAATTAAAAGCTTAATAAACTATATACTAAACGGGGATGAAAAAAAAGTGCTTTATAAGCAGGAAAACCAAGAAGTATATACGATGGACGGTTACCTTAACACATTCTTCGGCCGAATCTGATATAGTATCAAGATTGTAGCCACCTTCTAAGGCAAGTACGACACGTCCACCAGCGTAATTCATAAGCTGTCGTGTAAAATAACCAAACAACTGTGGAGATAAATTGTACCTGCAAAAACAAACCAAAGGAATCAACAAAACAACCTGAATGGCATCTAGCAAAATCTAATAAGTCTTTCATTCAAAATTATTCAGCACCTATGTTTTTACAAATTGATTTTTTTTGCAACAGAAACAATGTTTAAATTCAATCTTGTGAAAAAGTCATACCCTCCAAGAGCCTGAGAATGTCCGCATGCGGCATCGAAGCCAGCTGAAACAATGATGAATGTCGGTTTGAACTCATTTAATATAGGCGCAACGATAACACGCCATGCCGCTAAGTAATCGGCATCATCCATCATTTCACCCGAAAATGGTATATTTACCGTATAACCTTTACCCGATCCAACACCTACCTAGAATAATTGGCTTTATGAATTTGAATGTATGAAAAAACTGATAATTTTGCAAGAAAAAAAAGAACCAGCATTTAAAAAGTACGATTAGCAACTCTTAACATAAAATAACAATCAACTAAAAAATTAACGAAAACAAATGGTGTAAATGCAGTTAACACACTAAGGAACCCATGCGAAAAGCGTTCCACTGAAATTGTGGGCAATTATAATAATCTTAATAACAGAATCACTAACTTCAGTAACAGCTCCAGTACCCGGAAAAAAGTTCCCATTATCATGACGATGAAGAGATAAATAAAGCACCGAAGGATCAGCTTCAAAGCAAATCTGCGTACCGTTGCCGTGGTGAACATCCCAATCAATTATTGCTATTCGTGAACACTGCTCAGCACATCGCTAAAAACACGGCCTAGCAATCACCACTAAATTATTAACTACTCGAAAAAAAAAGTGCACAACTCTTATGCAAAAATTGGTGAAAATGATTCCATAAATCCTAGGGTGAAATCTTAAATTTTAAGCTATAATTTAAGGTTCCAAAATGATTGAAATCAAGATGGAATCCATCATATTTACTAAAGTACACTGTCTTAAAAATCTCCAAGCGTCTGCATAGAAAAAATACCTGCTGCAAATATTTAACGGCAATTGCAACATTGTTCAAAAAGCAAAAGCCCATTGCCTGGTTATATTCAGCGTGATGTCCAGGAGGCCTTATGCATGCAAAACCATTTCGCAGCCTTGATTCTGCCACCTGTATGTACTTAGCAAATTGCAAACGGAATTTCTACTGATGAAAATAATGCTTTTTTTGAGATCTCATTCTTACAAATGGAAATAAAATTGAGTTATCTAATGTCATCCACTTGTTTTCATTGTGACATGAATATAACAAATATACATGCATTCAAATATTTTTGAAGAAAAAGCACCTGCAACGCTAGTTCAGCTAAAGAACCAACAGCAATGCGTGCTGCTAACTGTGTTGAAGCATCGTTGAAATATGTGTCTGAATCGACTCCGATACCACCACAAGAAAGTTGCACGAAACTTTTTACAGGCAACTGCGAGGGTTCCATCTGAAGGGAGAATAATCCCAATTGAGGCCGAAATCATTGTCAACTTGGATACATTTCTCGAATTATTTCATCAAGGACATATTTAAGCATACTGATATACAGCCTCATACGTAACTCAATGGCATGAGTAAAGCGGACAGCGTAAAAAATCGAAGAAATCAGACAGAATCATTACCTACGTTCAAATATGCAGGTAATTCTAGCAGATATTGACACCTGATAACAAAAACGGAAAAACTCTGTTCAGTTTACCTTACTCAGACTCACATTCAGACTCACACGATATCCAATAAAACATTTTACTTTGAGGCAAGCCGTGGGCGAAACAGCAAAGAAAGTAACATATGTTGGGGCATGAACGGTTCTTAGCATTTCTAGTGGTGCTTTACGTGCAAATACTCGTTCACATTTCTCAACCAAACCACGTTCCTGCAACCGTGACCAAATCGATTGTACACGTTCACCGTGTTCCACATGGTTCCTGTTATTACCACAAAAACATTGATGCCTCGCCATTGCTGGATCGTACACCAAACCTGAAATAAGCAATATTACATCTTAGTGCAGCAAACAATCCTTCTGCTTTGAAATTCATGTTATTCTATGAGCTCTATTAACTGCTGTTCAGCAGATTTAAATTAGATCAAGTTACTCGAATACAGATCATATGAAATAAATCATGAAGCCATCAAACTGCCTTTAAATTCGCAACTATATATATTAGTTTCGAGTCATATTATAACAAATAAAAATGTATACATTAAAGCAAAGAGTTCTTATATATACTGGAAGTATTTAGGCACTCAGTGAACTATTTACCATGTGAAGTAAAATGCACATTATCACTCATTCAATTCAATTTGTGATCATTTAAAATGAAGACCTGAGCCTGCCCAGTTCAGTAAACTAGACCAGGATTGCTGATAATATAATGTAACCTTTTATTACATTGACTAACACTCCACTTTTTAAAGTTACAACATATCTTCAATCTCCCATTAATAAAACCTGATCAAACAGCCTCAGTTAAAATCAGTGAAAATTTTAACTTTCCTTAACATACCTGTTTTCAACTGCGTACTCAATACTGATCCACTTTGCAAACGTAACAGAAGTTGCGCCCCAAGCGCTGCTTCATCTTCCGGTTCTTCACGAACCAAAGATTTTCGTCTAAGTACTAAATCACGCAACTGTTGTTTCAGCAGTGACGGATAACCACCAACTGATAACAATGTATTTTGATTTCGAGTATCAAATTTCATCAGGTTACGTGCTGCTCCCTCTGAAATCTAACTGCACATTGATAGAAATAGAAGAAACAGTTATAACATACAAGCTAGAGAAAGAAAAGAAAGAAATAAACTTATAAAAGAAAGGGTACTAGGAAAAAAAAGAAGTGTCACTTATCGGTGAGCTAATTTGCAAATCAAAAGTCGTAAATAACGAATATAACTAAAACAGTGATAACAACAGCCTACCACTTGATGTGCTACTTGAATCAAGTCCTGAATCAACCATTGAGAACGACGGCTGCAACGTGTTACTTGCGATAAGTGATGGCATTGAAAAGAACGGTGAATACATAGCCTGTGCAAGCAATGCCGACATATCCATTGGAATTTGTGCTGGTGAAGCAAGATTCGGTAAGGATGGTGAAGGGATCATCAAATGGGGTGATGTGGCTAGCAGAGTAGTAGGCGAATCAGCAGAAGATGTACTACCACCAAAATCAGTATCCATTGGTGTATCGCTACAAATAAATAAAACAAATCAGGCAAAACAAACATTAATTCTTCTTGACTTTGTCAAATTTTTTAATCAAAAGAGACTTTAAAAAAAAGGACAATAACCAACAGTAAAGATGTGTTTTAACTGAGGCCTAAAATACTCTATTTTGTCATTCTTTATTAAACGACAGTCAAATTGACAAACTGAAAAGGAAATTTTCCAAATCAATAAAATAAATTTAAAAAAGCAAATGTTAAAGAAAAATACCTTTGAGAGGTTCGTTGTGTAAATGCGAAAGCACTACTTTGAGACTGTAATGGGCCAGCACTTTTATTAAGAAGTTTTGCACGAATTCGCATTTTCAAATTCGGTTCACTGCTCACTTTACGCAGTTGATAATCCGATGCTTGCAATGTTCCGTGTATGGCATGCATTGTGGAAGGAATGTAATACGGTTCAAAATGTAGTGATGAAAGTGCAATCGGTGTTTGTACTGAGCCTGTATGCAGCTGCTGTGAGGTTTGACCTTCCATGCAACTTGACCACGAAGCTGTAAGATAATGAACATTTTCCTATAAACATTTCTATTGATATTCTTGCAAAAAAATTGACATTCTTACTGATAATCTCGTTACCTGAATTAAATCCTAAATCAACATTAATCTAAATTAGTTACAACCTCTATGCAAAATTGAAGATTGGATTCTAATAAAGAAACTAGAAAAAACAACCAATTCACTTTAAATTCCTACTTATTTTATAAAAAAAATGGGGAAAAAAAGCTATATTTG